GTACCAAAATCAGGATTGACCCATGGACTAAAGCTTTTCAAAGTCGCAAAAACGTTATCGGTAGCCATGCGCACTTTGCCCTTTCACGACCAGGCAGTTCTCTTTTTGTAAATGCGGTATGAATACTATCCCCAATCTTCAGAAACACTCTGGTGGCAATCGAAGCCTTTTCATTCCAAGCTTTTAAGGAAAGGCGAACATCCAGATTAAGCACTCTAGTTGCAGCATCAACATTCTGTTTATCGTGGACATAAACATCGCTTTTCCACAGGGGGCACTCTAATTTGAATTCAGGATACATTTTCATTAAATGTTCTATCTGCGCGATGTGCTTTCCCATTAGCAAAATTCGTTTTACATTTAGTAGTTGGTTACGCCACTTTTTAAGAATATGTTGCCAGTCTGGGAACATTAGCGTCTCACAAGCCCTGCCATTTACCGTCGAAGACATATCAGCAGCAAAATCAAATCCTTTATAATCAATAGTAATCTGGTTTTCTCGTCTTTCGAAATCCCTTTTGTGCATTTGGAAATAATGCTTTCTAAGCTTAGAGTCTCCATCAGCACCAATTCCTAAGACCTCGATATTGTGCGCTGAACCACTTTCACATGCTTTAGTCATCCACTGCTTAACAGAACGGTAGTCTTGTCCTTTTACTACTGGACTAATACAGAGAGTGAAACTAGGCACATGCTCAACAACCGGAGATAAGACAAATGCATTGGCTAGTTTTGCTTTTTCGTATGGGGCGGAGTTCACTATGTCAATAACGTCTTGTGCAGTTGACACCGAAACTTCATTCTGTGTTGCAAAGCCGATAATTCTGTTTCCTTTAACACGCAATGTTCGAATAACAGTTGTGGCATCAATTGTCAGAATAACCGATCTTATCATAAAACATCCTGGCCATCGCAAAGGAACTATCTGTAAGATCCGATGAAATGATATAGCTACTTGTAGCCGTTCTGTATATCGTTGCAAGATGAGGACCACCCAAACGGTCTTTTATGATCTTGGCCAGAGCTGGGCCACCATAACTCAAAATCACTGCAAACAGAGACTGTTTCATCTGACCAGCGTTTTGTTTCCTTTTCTTTGTTACAAATAAGGTCACTAAGAATTTGTAAGAAAGGGTGTCGGTTTTCATTGTTGCCCATTTTCATTAAGCAAGCCAATTTCAATGCGACTTCTGGAGCTTGTTTGTTCAGATCTCTTTTTTGCAATTGCGTACGAAGTTCTTCAAGCTCGACCTCAAAATCAACTACTTTACTTTGCCAATTCTCAATCTTGTTACGGTATTGATCATGTAAGTTCATGAAGTCTATCAATACTGTGACGTATTTGACTGTAAAATCCTGTGCTTGTTCTTTGTGATCGGAAAGCACGTTTGTTACGGTGGCACATTGACAATATACTTCTTCGTAGCTTAAAGGTTTAGGCTTTCTAGCTAAACAATCTTGTATTACTTTTGTTAACCTTGTACGAATTGTGACATCCTTGTCAATCCTTCGAACCTTTGCTTTGCTGACACCTTCAAGTATAGCAATTTCAGTGTTTGTTAGAGCTGGGATCTCTTTTTCGAAACTGAAAACAGTACCCGCCAACTTACATCCGAAGTGGGACTCGGCTTCTTTTATGGTCTGCCGTGCAACCTGAATCGAAAATTAATGAAATTAAAAGATAAATGGTTAAATAAAATAATTTTCCAATTTTTTAGACTCACGATTAAAAAGTGTCACAATTATCCCTTACCATGTTTATTTTTTCCGTCAGAATTAAGATTTCTGTGGCTTTCCTTTTTTTCTCAGACACTTGATGTTCTGATAAAGCTTGTGTTGTGTCAAGCTCAAGCTCCAAAAAGAGTTTAACTTGTTCTGATCTGAAATTCACAAATGCAAATGATTGGTTTGTACGTACGTACATGCATACCACATACGTACATATTTGCTGTACTGAATACTAACTTCTTTGGATGGATTTGGCGACTTTATAATCAGGTGTTAACGTCCATCTACACAGCATTTTGTGTCTGTTTCACTGTGTCAGCGAAGAAGCCATGCCATCTTGGTTCCATCGGAATGTGTAATGGTTGCTTGGCACGGACAGCAGTAAAAAGAAGTGGTGAAATCATCATCCGACGATAGCTTGTCCCGAAAACCCAAACTTTCCAGTTCATTTAAAATTTTGGAAATCTGATTACTACAGGAAATATGCAAAAGAACAAAGAGAAGTACTCCAACAATGGCGTAAGAATACATCATGTGGGTTAGTTAACCCATGGAAATAGCCACGCAACTGACACCTTTCAACCGAGCTTTAATTTTTCAAACAGATTACACGTGATAGGTTTTAGGCAGAACACGTGAAAGGTGTAGATAAATTTATGGTAAGTGAGCATGGGTGTAGCGGGGTGTCAAAAGATGGTTTAGGGACTGGTCAAAAAGTATAGGGGGGGTGGGCCGGAGCAGAGAGGGGGTGGGTCATGAGGTTTTGAGCCTAGTGCAAGGGGTGGGTCTTGCAATTTTCAGCTACCCTTAGGGGGTGGGTCACCCTATTTTATTACATAGATAGGCACTAACTACTAACGAGACAGTTGACTACACTTGTTATATAAAACACAGCCAGCTGGAATTATTGCTAAAATACTCAGAAACCTCAGTGTTGTGCGAAAAAATACAAAGGGTGACAGGCCGCACACCTATACGGGCGTGGAACCCTCTGTTAACCTTTTTTTTTGGCTCTAACGAGCATGTCCTTTAATGATTTTCCTTTTTTGTAAGGAAATGATTGGTGGTTCTTTAAAAATTTATTGAGGTTATAGTTGGTTTTGTATAAGATTCCATTTTTTCATTCAAGCTTCCTTTATCGTAGACACTGAGGGCTGGTATTGTGTCACGAATGGCAATTTTTCTTTTTCCTCCCGTTGTTTTTTTTTAGAAGTTTGGACTCCATTTTGTGAATTTTATTTCTGATAGTAGGTTTTCTATCAAAGATTGTGGGTAGCCTCCATCCATCAAGCGTTCTTTTTTTTAATTTGAATTATTTTCCTCAAAGGTTGTTTCTGAGGAGTTTTTTCATAGGATTCTCAAGGCTTCTCATTTGACAAATCCTTTTTTAACATTTGGAGGGTGACACGAGGCGAAATGTGTATACAAGAAGGTTTCCGTTTTTTTAAAATGTGTCTTTGCATCGAGGATAGATTTTTCCTTGAATCTTGTGCCTTTGTATACAACTGTGTCCAAAAACGCAGTCTCAGTGTCAAATGTTTCGGCCGTGAATTCAATAGTTGGGTGATGTACGTTTGCTTGTTCAATGAAGGCTTCAATGTCTGGTTTACTCATGTCCCATAGGGAAAATATATCATGTATGTAGCATCTCCAAACTGTTGTTCTAAAGACAGTTTTGCTTAGAGTTGTTGTTTCAACATATGTCATGAAAATATTAGCAAAGGAATCAATACTGCTGTCTTTGTGCCCATTGCAGTTCCATAGTTTTGCAGGTAGTGCTTTCCATTGAAGTGGAAGAATATTTCTTTGAGGATTAATCTAAACATTTCCGGCAAGTAATGTGTAGGAATGGGTTGTCTTTCTAGAAATTTTCACTTGCTTTGTGACAGACAATTTCAATATACCCTCGTTTTGCTGTATATTTGTGTCAAGACTCATAACGTCCATCGAAACAAGAAATGTTCGGTTTTTCACTTTTGTCTTTTCAGTGAAAGGTATGATTTCTGTGATTTTGATATTGGTTGTAGCAGCTAGTGTATCAACAAATTTTGTCAAGCACAGAACAAGGTTTTATTGGATTATTAATAGGAAACCAAACATCCATGTTTTAACTAGGGGGTGGGTCATGCAATTTCCAACCTTGCTTTAGGGGTGGGTCAGTCATTTTTGTGCCGAAGGGAGGGGGTGGGTCATGTGTTTTTTATCAACCACATTTCCAAATGCTCCGGCCCACCCCCCTATACTTTTTGACCAGTCCCTTATGTTTGAGAGGAGGGTCTCGTTTTTTCCGGAAATCACAACTATTTTACTAGTTTTCACACGGGTATTTGCTATTGTTATAAGTGGCGTAAACAGCAAAGAGGGGCTCTTGTTCCATTGCCCGGAAACCGCAAATAAAGAGAATAAAAGAACGCTCGTTTGTGATTGATTCATTATTTATTGATTGCTTGATTGAATCGTTTTTTTTAACACATTTTTGTCTTTTATGGCTTTGTTGCTCACACATCTAAAAGGACACACGTAAAAAAAAGTGTTAAGAAGTGTTTAACGTAAAGGTAAAAATTAATGTTTGTCTCGACATTCCTTATTTTCGGCATATATAAAATCCGGGTAAAAATGTTTCCATGATAAATTTACTGTAGGATTACATCAGCGACTTGAGTTAATGTATAGGCTGTTACGCGGGTTATCTTTTAGAGGACGGGTAGCTTGCAAACCAAACTGAACGCAGGGTTGTCGGAACAGTAACAAGAAGATTTATTCCAAGAATGAACGTAGTTTCCACTGAGTAAAACTCCACAACAGCACTTAACTCGATAAACTTACACGGCCTCCGCAAAATTCACTTAACTTGATAAACTTACACGGCCTCCGCCAACTTGAATAAACACTGCTTCCGTCACACTTGAGTAAACACGACTAACGTCGAACTCTCCTCGCTTGTGAAAACTAGTTAAAACTTAACTCGGACTCACCTACTTATACACTTTTACAATAAGATTCTAGAACTTTCTAAATAGTCTAATTATAGAAAGATTACAAAATATACCGCTTTTATAAAGGCTTACACAAGATCCTAAAATAAACAAGCTATGAACTCTCGCGAAGCTTCTAGAAAGTCACGCTAGTCACGCAATACAATTTTTCGTAACATAGGCGTTACTTCCTCGCTGTAAAATCCCGAGGCAGCCAGCTCTACTTTGAGAACGTTTAACTGAGTACTGTTCATGGCACTTGCAACAACTTTGACAGGCAAATTGATACCACCTCCTCTACGACATCTTCCTCCTGGATCTGCAAAAGGGGCTTCCAATAACAATGCTGCAAAAGATGAAAAAGTCCAAAGGTCTTTACGGTTGAACTAATTTCCTGGAAATTTTAAGCCAAGACATCAAAATATACCCGGGTATATTTACCATTTAAGCACAACAGATCTAACCAAATTCCAAAGTATAGGTACTAGCTCTTTTTGTAGGTGTCCTAGCCGCCCATCATCGCTTAAAACTTCAAAGGCTCGCCCTTTTTCTCCAATCTTACAACGAATTTCAAATTGATCTCCATTCGAGACACTGAAATGGCACTCGTGGTAACCCTTCAAAATCGCTTCGAAGTGTAATGTTGCTCTGGTAGATGACTCTTCATAACCTTCCTTGGACGGGCCTTCAGCTCCACTAAATTCTAATCTCGACATTATATGGTTATAATCCGCGTAAAGTAACCAAACTGACACTAAAGGTTCGAATTATTGACTGAATGAATGCCTAGGATCGATGCAATTTCAAATATTCTAAATATTCGGTACAAATTATGATGTCCAGAATGTAGGCGTCATAAAACAAAAGAGTACTTTTTGCTGACACACCGGGATACCTGGACTTTAAACCTAGTCTCATTTGGCTCTGCGCTCGCAATTGAGCACACCATTCTGCGTTCCGCTTACAATGACTTCTGTTAAGTTTGCACGGTTTGCAGTAACGGTAAATGAGCAAGATAGAAATGCTTTGATGGAATTCGTTCTAAAAAGAGGAGGAAATATCACAGAGTGCTTTGAACCACGAGAAGAAACGCGCGAAACCCCAGGTAAAGCGTAGGAATCTTCGGCTTCTCAGAAAAATGGTGAAGGTGGGTATCATCTAAACGTTCTACACAACGTGACATGGATAATTCTTAAGAATCACTATTCCGTAATCTTTCCATTAATTTCTAGAAAACCAAAGCATCACAACAAGACCCCCAAAAGATATAGCAAATGATATGAATGCTTGGCTACATAAGAATGGCGTGTGTCAGTCATTGTTTGCCGGCAAAGTACTCGGCCGGAAACAATCCACACTGTCTGATGCGTTGAGAATGCCACCAGCAGAGCTCCCAAAGGGTCAGGGAAAATTTTTATGGGAAAAGATGGAAAAGTTCCTACAAGATAAGAGCAGGTAGGAACAGCTCATCGCCCTGACAAAAGGTACGTGGTTTAAAGGTCTATGCAATTCATGTTAATCGATTTCGAAAATATAGCCATGTAGAAGGATAAAACCGTGGGCCAGGAATTAAACCTTAAAGTAATTAAGGCCACGTTTCTTGGAAGTTCAGGTCGTCGAAACTGAACTAAGACTTATCTTGTTGCCAGGAAAACGAAAGTCAAATGAAAATGCAGCTTCAGCATCGTCGAAGAAAAGAGTGGTATTTAAAGAGTATCAGTTGTCTGGATTGAGGCAAGCCTTTCAAGGAACTAATGGCCATGCAAGCCCAGAGTTGACAGAAAAATTGGCCGAGACTCTAGACGTGGACGCAAAACAAGTAAGACTAATGAGTTTACAACTCTATGTATAATCATTTCCTTAAAAAAGGTGTATTTAGTTTATTTTATCACATATCATTGATGATAATTTTATCGATAACTATACTATTTAATTATAATTATGCAATAGCCTTCTACGCAGGCTGATATGATCTGATTGCGTGATAGCCTCCTACGCAGACGTTCTTAGGACTCGTCACGCGTTTCTCCCCCACGTGGGGGAGAAAACTTGTGACGAGCCCTAAGAACGTCTGCGTAGGAGGCTAATCGCGTGACGAGCTCAAAGAGGTGTCTGCGTAGGAGGCTACTCATGCAAATACGTTTGAATCATTCCTTATATTGATCACTTCTTGTTCCCCATATTTCTTAGGTTAAAACCTGGTTTCAAAACCAACGGAACAAAGCAAAAAGAGAATATTAAGACACCGGGTAAGACGACAACCAGACTGGACGACAACCTTGAAGCCGAGAAGCCGAAAAAGGAAAAATAATTTACGTTTGTAATTGAACCCGGGTAATCGAACAATTTTTATTATTATCTTTTTTTTTTTTTTTTACCATTTACTACAATCTAATCTACGAAAATAATAATAATGTAATCGAACAATAAAATCAGGAAGAAAATCATAATGCAGTCCCTTTGATCTCTTGTACAGTGCTTGTCAACAAATCATTTCATTGCCGCCTTTGAAATCTACATTTAAAGAGTCACAATCAAACGCTCCCTCAACAGAAACAGGTTAATTTTTATCGATTCAATAGCGAACAATGAATCCGATAAAATCGATACAATTAACACTTCGTCGGCGTGTGAGTATCAATTTTTATTGATTCACCGATAAAGTCGATATCATTTAAAATCAATTAATCAATTTTTATCGATTTATCGAATGATTTTCCGATATCAATTTTTATCGAATGACTACGCCGGGACACATTGCATGCATATCGGAAGCGTATGCTATTTCTTCTCCTATTTTATTTAACATTGGTCTTGGCAAGTCTGCCACAGCCTACTAGTACTAGCGCCAGAACATACAATTTTCAGAGTATTCCATTGACGATTTGCAACAGAGCGTACAGTTATTTCTGCAGTAAACAAAAAGGAATCAATCAATGGCATATCTGTGCATGCATCTTAAATTTTAGATATATTTATCTTTGAAGTTTTAAGCTTACACAAAGTTATTAGAAAACCAAAGTAAGGTTATAAACGAACCACGACATCAAGAAGACAGAAGAACGTACCTTTCTGCTATAATCCAGCTGAGTTGCTGACTTGGAAACATCCTTTATGTGAAGAATTCTGCAATCGATCACTTTCTCTCAAAAATAACGTGTATTAACAGAAAGTTGCTTGTGAAGTCCGCGTGAATTTGAACTATTCAACGGAAGTTCATTTTACACTTTTCTATTGGTTCAAAAGCCACATGAGACATCATAAATCAAATCGCGCATGTGCCACAGTTATGGGGAAGTCTGGGAAACAACAAACATGGCGGCAAATCTTGCAATGGAGAAATTGCCCCCATTTGAGTCGAAAAAGCGGTGATTTTCAACGTTGATAAGAATATTCCAACGCATTTGAAGTGTTATAAGCAAGAAGAAAACTTAACATTGTTCTTTCAAGTTTTTTGAGGATTTAAGAAAATGCTGGACTATATTATGAATCAAAGTTGTGACTAAATACGTGTTGTAGACGTTGTTCATTTTGCACAAGCTCAGGTACGGAAAGCTGATTGAACCAAAGACACCTTGAACACACCAAGAGCATGCCAGTTGTTTGTCTCAAGGAATCATTCATTAGTTGAACGAACTGTATCAAACGGAAACTCAAGCATGCACAGCAAGGAACTGTTCGCATGCTCAAGTGGACTTTCGACCTTACAACGAGGACGTTACAGTAAGAAACAAAACATTCATACAATGTAGTTACATATGTCATAGTATGGAAATCTGGGATCGATAAAGGATTATTAGTATTAGATTAAGGGCCGGGTCGCACTAGTGTAAAAAGTTGTTTGTTTAACAAAAAAATCTGTCATCATATAGATTTTGCCCGTGCGACCGATTTGTCCGACATTTTCAAAAATGAGCGGAATGCACCAAATGTTCAAAGATACCGCCAATTGAAATTGCCAAGCTCTGGACCTCGCCAAAATGTCACAAAACATCAAAAAAGCTTTTAAGATGTCAATCATAATGCAAAAAGTAAATGAAACGGGCGGTAAAATCAATTTGCCTAGGATTTGGCGGCAACCTTGTAAGAAGATGGATCCCACGTGGCCATATGCAAGCTCCTGTGCCTTTTATATGCCAATTAGAGCAATGAATCCAGACCCAAGGATTTCCCTTGGACACCAAGATGTCAATTGTAGCCAGCCAACGTTCGGTTCTTTATATCCATTCGATCCCGCCTGCTCAACCAGCTCTCCGTCACCCAGTTCACTTGGAGAAGCCGATCAACTTGATAGTCAGTTCCCCAGTCAGCCCAGCCAGTCCACAGCCAAGAAATACGACAAGTGGACAAACGATCAACAGCGCTACTTAATACAGTTATGGGCAGATAAGCAGGATATGATCAACAGCAAAGATTCAAGAAATGCTTGGCGTGAGATTGCCGAGGCCATCAATAACAAGTTCAAAACAAACAAGACGCCAGCGATACGGACTGTATCGTCTTTGCCGTCTACGCTGCCTGATCGTACGCTCATATTCCAACAATGCTAGCTGAATATTTAAGTTGTGAAGTCTGTAAACACAGTGTAGGCCATATAGAGTTGCCATTCTAGCCTGCATACAAGTTAAAATGCACAAAATCCCAACAAAAGCAAATGCTGCGTCTCGCGGTAGTACCATGATGCATTGAATCTTCATTAGCGTGATATCGTGACACTTTTGGCAGGAGTCGGAGTTTTCTTTTGCGGTTGATAGATTGATGACATTAATGTAACTTACATGCGACCCACGAATGCCATTTTAAATTCTACCGGAAACAGAAATTTGACTGAAAATTTATCCCAACAAAAACAATTTTGTCTGCTAGTGCGACTCGGGCCTAATTTGGATAGAAAAGTAAGTTTTCTAAAGGAAGAATAAAATGAAGGCCGTTTTGTGCTCAGTGAGGATCTGTTGAAAGAATGGTTTAATTCTCACGATTTAGCCCTCCCCACTTAACTAAAATTTATTGTAGGTACACATCTTTCTGGGTGGAAACCAATTGTTAAGATACACATATTTAGATGCGAAAGTTGATTAAATACATAAATTTATATCAAATGTTCTAGCAAACAAAGAAGACAATAATGATATTTGTAAAGATGCACATGAAATTTAATTTTGCAGTTTTCATGGGGTATTCACTCAAAATTTATGGCATTTTCATAGACATGTGGTTCATAGTGGTTGCATTTAATAAGCCCTGAAAAAATTTCACCTGCTCACTTTAACATGCCTAAAAGTGTTCACATGCATGTGAAAAATTTCACATACATAGCATCTACAGTGTATTATGCATGTGAACTTCAAATTTCACATGCATGACAAAAAGTTCACATGCATGTGAAATGCCGATGTGGTGAACTTGTATTTTTGCCAACATTGATTTCACATGATTCATTTTTTTCACACACTTTTCACACCCTTTTCACATGATTTTCACACACATAGCCGTATTAGTGATTGAAGCATGTGAATTCGCTAGCAATTTGCACATGCAAATCAGAATTAGATAAATGACAGGGTCAGTGGGAAACGAAACTAATTTACCCTTGTCACGGTTTAAAAAGTGCGGTGTCATTAAGTTCATTTCTAACTTGCCATAGACAGGAATGTTTTGAATACCACATTCAACCATGTTCCAATTGCAAATAAGCAGGGTGTCATCATGTGCCTCGTCTACAAAAAATAATTTGTTGTAAGCTTTTTTTTAATTAGAGTAATTGAAATTTATGAAAAAAAAGTATTCATGGAACATTTTTTCAGTCGTTGCCCAAAAAACAACTAATACAGCTAATGATGAACTCACTTGGTCAACAAACCGTTACCGCCCCCCAGTACCTTGACATATTCCAAGAAAAAAGAGCTGCATCTACGCTCAGTGACATTGAGAAACTCTCTCTGTTGGAGGGTCAGTGGGACGTGGAGGACCTTTACAAGTACAAGTTTCCAATAAGGTTTGTTCGCTGAGAAGTTGAGTTTTCCTATTAGTTTCAATATCCCCCAAACCGCTCTCATTAAAAACTATTTAATTATTGATGATCTCCTCTTTCAGAAATACTTCAAGCAGGGTGTCAAGCCCTTTAGAGGTCCAAAAATTTTGGAATATAGGACTAAGCGATCTGAAAATATAGGACAAAACCCACCAAAAATGCAAAAATATGGGGCTAATCCGGTGGTCACTTAAGAGTGCATCCACGGTAGGACCAGGCAGGGGCGGCACAAGCCATCCATCCGATTTCGATGAAACTTGGCCAGTTTGAAGGGATCCACCCAAAACTACTTCACTCTAAGTTAAGGAAATTTGGTCGAAAAAATGACCAAAAAACACCTAAAAATTGGTCCAAAGTATAAAGCTCTACTGCTAAAAGAATTCCACCAAATCTTTTCATAATTTCAGTGAATGTTATCCTACCCAAAGACAATTTATTGTAAATGTTTCGTTCTTCTACGACAAGTTCCTATGACACAAGTCATCTCAGCCAAGACCCCCCTGTCACTCAATAGTGAAAACTGTTGAAATATCCAAAGTTTAGGCCAAAATATCTCAAATGCTGGAGCATGCTTCAAAAAACGGACCATACCGTTTAGAAGGAGGGACTTCATACTAACATTATCTGCAAAAAAATCTTTGGGCACTCATTTAATTATTCCACAGGAAGACTGCAAACACGTCGTTCACCACAGGGTACCAGTGTCAATTTTGTTTTCATTTTAACGCGCTAATTCGGTAATTATCGCACAGCAACAGACAGACAATAGCACAAAATGATTACACGCCATACACTTTAATGAAATAGAACCATTTCTATCTAATCGCCTAAATTAAAAAAGGGCCCACCACAGGGTACCCACGTCAATCTTTTTTTTTTCTTTCATTAGAACGCGCTAATTTGGTAATGATAACGTAGCAACAGACAGAAAATGCCTCAAAATGGTTACACACTATAAACTTTAATGAAATTGAACAATTTCAAAAGCTTTTGTTTGCCCTAAGCCGTGAAAATAAGAATCGGCGACCTTATGATGACTTCTATTATTGTATAAGTGAACTTCATGACGAAATTTACTCTTCACTAAGTCAAACACCTGAGTCATAGAACACTATCAAAATGCTTACATTGTCTGTATTTGAACTTTAGACTGATTGTATAATGAAATTTGCTTTTTGTTCGTCTAGTAAAGGAATAGTGCAATTGCTTGAAACTTGCACGCCACATTGCATCTTGATACAGAAAACGTTATCCAAAAGAATTCCCTTTTCTGAAAATAAATTGATTTGCTTGCAACTCAATATCGGTTGCCTAATACGCCTGAAAAGGAGAAAAAATGGAGAAAAGAACAGCCAAACGCTTCTTTTTTTCTAATCCCTGGAAGTTACTTCCTGGCAAGTGCATACATCTTTGTAATTTGATAGCTTGATTCGATTTTCCATAATAACTACAAACAAAACAAACTTTCGCTTTAAAAATACAAATTGACACGAACGAATTGAGTTGTTTTGTTTTCTTCTTTAAAAACGGAGTTTTTGCATGTATAAAGGTTTGGCGATCGTAAATGTTGAATTCGGGCTTAGGATATGTAATAGACCTAACAGCCCAGTGTTGAGATTCACACGCTTTCTATAAATAGACCGTTGATTGGAAAAAGCGTGCACGCGCATGGATATTTCAAACTGTTCCTCACATGCGCCGATCGGTTAGAGGTATAGGATGTAGAGGTGAAAAGGTCTCTCGTTATAAACGATGTCGCAGTTCTCATGCTCTTTTGCCGTGCACTGTACCAGTGAGTGTGACGTATCAACTAGATACCCCCATCGTACACAGTTTTTTCCTTTGAATTCTTGCGTCAGTGATGTAAAGGCGCACTTGAGAGAATTGCAAACAACACAATCATTTGTAGCCTCTCAGAGAGAGCTGATACTTGCTCGTGTCGGTTTGTTTGACGAGGAGGGTAAGGATATGGTTATTTGCCCAAAGCATCGCGTTTTACTTGGAGTAAAGTATTGTCCTTCAAGAAAATGCCAGCATCCGCTTCATGGTCGCCGTAAGGGTAAAGTATCCAGAGGGGTGAACTTGAAAATGTCGAAAGAGATAAAGGAAACGTGGGACGTTTTGGTTCCTGTAGGCTCAGGTAAGCGTGATCACTGAAGGTAAATATAGGAAATTGTCGAGGACGAGCAGCTAAATCGTTCGAAGGGATGCTGCAACCTTTGCAATGGACATGTTCAGTTTGCGAACAGATACAAAAATCCTTCAAACGGACATCTTAACCGTTCGAACGGATGTTGCAATCCTTTGGATGGATACCAAATTTTTTTGAACGGACAAGCAAAGCGTTCAAACGGATCCTAATTTTTTTCGAACAGATAGGCAAACTGTTCCCAATTTTTTCAAACGGTTTTTTAAAAGTGTTCGAAAGAACAACGAATAGATAACAAACGCTTATCCTCTTGAAATGGATAACCATTAGTGTCCATTTTGACTTTCACGATCACAAATGCATTAGGATAAAGCGCTTTAGACTGAATGAGAATTCAGCATGGACGGTTATTCCTAATGAAGCCACTTCACACTTGAGAGGTTTTTCCTTCCTCTCTAAGTGCAACTGCAGCAGCAAAGATATCAACATTAAGGAGTTACCAATCTTCTACATAAGAACACTGCCATGGTTTGAGTTTAATACTAAGCCATGTACAAGAAACACGACCACATGGAACAAAGATATTAAAATTAATAATAATTCGATCTTCTTTTGAACATGGCTTAGTAAAGGAGTTTCCACTATAGAAAACCTCGATCCTAATCTTGATCTTGATTTCCTTGCTTATGAAGAATTTAAAACCCGTTACAAGATAAAAACACATTTTTTGACTTATGACAGAGTAATAAACGCTATGCCAAATGAATATAAAAAATCTATTAAACAAATGAACACACAACAACAGCAACCTACACAGCAACGTTAGAGCTTGAAAGTACTAACAACCAAGGCTATATGCAAGAGTTTTGTTAATCACATATTTGAGGAACCTACAGACACACTGAATGCCGTATTGACAATGGGTTACCACCGGACCACATAAACAGCTACTTTAACTTTGCTTTTTCTTGCACCAAAGAAACAAAGCTAATTATGTTCCAGTACAAGATTTTACATGAGATAGTTTTTACTCAGGAAAAATTGTTCAGAGCTAATCTCGCCAACAGTGATCTCTGCTATCTATGCTTGGAAACAAGACAAGATCTGAAGCACATGATAATCTCGTGTCAGTTCATCTCAGAGTTCTGGGAAGCTTTCCTGGACTGGTACAAGTCTCACATATCAATAGGGCTAGAACTATCAACCATCA